TAGCAGTGATGAACGATACAAAAAAATTAATAGCTGTGTTTGTTGGCAGCATTTGTGTGTCTTCTAGTTATGAAATAATTTGTTCAAGTAAGGATGTGATAAAGTTTTAGGTGTGGCATGTTTCTTTAGATGGGATTGTGGTCTTGACAAGTTTGCCTGGCTGAACTGTATCTTGACCATGTAGCATTCTTGATAGCCTCAGGCTTCATCTGTAGAGGCAAGGATTCTTCGACGTATATACTTAGTGAAACAGACAGGTATTTTATTTCAGTGTTACAGCTTGCTGGTGCAAAATAGAAATTAATGCAAGAATTAAATTCCTAATAATTTATGAATTTAGAACATGTTTACTAAAAAAGAATGAGGGAAAGTAATGGGAGCATCTTTGGAAACATTTTTATTCTTGAAATAGTATTGAAAAAAGTCTGTTTTTCAGATAAATCAGTGACTGTTACAGCCCCAGCTTTAGCCTAGTGTCAGGGAGCAATAACTTTTAATATTTAAGCATTTTTAAAAGGATCTTAGAAACAATTATTACAATGAAACTTGGAATATACACTGTCTAGCACTATGCAGTGAGATAATGGAATTTCAGTATATTTGGTTAAGTTCTGTACATCTTTTCACAACTTTGGCTTGAAATGTCTACTGACATTTCTGTACTGGAAAAATATATCTTCACAGTAATTTTGAAGAATAACTTTCTACTCCTATTCATCTTGAATAACAATATTGCAGCTTTGGAAGATAATATAAAAATCCATGACTGTTAAATTAATTTTAGAAATCTTAGCCCTAAAAATATGCTCAATTTATGCTTTGTCTCTGTGTGCAAATAATGACTTGGCATGTAAAATGCTGGAAGATCCTATCCTTTAAAAATAGAATCCTTGGAGATGAGTTGATATGAGCAAACTTTCAGCAGTACCAAAAAAACTGCAGTAATAACTTAGATTTCAGTTTCATGGTGAGATTCTACAATTCTTATTTTCTGTAGTGGTGATAAAAGAATGTAACATATGTTGTGTGGATTTGAAAAAAATTGTAGTTATTGAAAGCCAGCAGCCTTCACTGAAATAATTGTAGTGATTACACGATAAAAGCATCTTTTTTCCTTTGCCTTTCCCTTTCCCTTTCTCTTTCCCTTTCCCTTTCCCACCAATTTAAAAGACTGACATTGGTTTGTGGAATTAGGTTTTAATACATATATATATATTTAATGAAAGTTCTGTTCTATCTCAGTAATTTCTGTTATTTCTTACTTGATTTTATTTTTTTGAAAGACTGGGTAGTGCTGAAGTATTTTGTCATCAACAGTCTTATATAGCTAAACAAGATAAATAATTTCATTTTCTTGTGTGGTTTCAGTCAAATTTTCTACACTGTTTTTAAGAAGTGAAAGAAATAATTTTATAGCCTTTTAAACTCCTTTTATATTTTGTTTTTTTAATTAAATTCAGTGATGTGGAGCTTGGGATTATACATTTTTCTAAAGGACTTAATATTTTTTAAATTATTATTTATGATTTGTTACATTATTTCCTGATTTATGTGAAATACTTAATATTAAAGATGGTAATTATTGCAAAATATCTATATGTATTTGCAAAAGGGTTTAATTTATACATAAACTCTCTGAAGAAAAAGGGCATTATTTTTTTGAAGATGGATCTGATAGAAAGCAGGGATAAACATCTAAGAGTGACTTCTTCCTTTCTGGTCTTATCCCTTAGGTCACCTGATATATTTTCCAATGGTTATGGCTAGGAATGTTAGAAAGATTTACAAGATAAACAGTAAAGATTTAAAAGACAGTGTTGCTATGTTAGACTTTTGACAATAGAATGTTGACAGATTATTTATAAAATCATCAATGTTATCTAGAATCCGTGTTCTTTAAATTGATCTACAGACTTCTTCCTATCTTCCCACTATCTACAAAAACTAAGGAAGTCTGCTTATGTTTCCAGCAGGGGATGGGGAGAACATGGATAGTGTGCAATCTTGTTTATTTGCAGCCCCTGTTCTCTTACAAAAATTTCATACGCATTAATGTATACTCATATATGTAGGTTACTCTGAATGTAATGCTTCCTATTTCTTTCCTTAGAAACTACAAAAGATACAAAGAACACTATAATAACGTGATAAAGAAAATTCTCAGATATAAGACTCAGGTTTTCAACACAGTCACTAACGTTACCTATACATTTTCACCAGCAATGAACAAGTGCCTGCATACTGCACTTGTAAAAATCTGCACCGTCGAAGGTGATCTATTGTTACCAGTTCTGAAATGCAACACCAGTCTCCTCGCTGTGCTCACATCCACTGTTTGGTCTCCATAAATGTTCAGCAAGTATTAATTAATGTCAGTGGGTGCCATTTTTTCTGCATGGAGGAATTCAGTGACACACCTCTGCTTCATCTGCACTTCCATGTCATGCGCCATTTATCAGACTATCCCTCTGCTGCCATCTGTTGCACCAAAACAAAATGTAATGTACTGCAAGTGAGAACGTTCAGCCTTTACTGCCATACCACCACCATCTGATCCTGACTCTGTGGGCCAACAGCATAAAATAGGAGGCATTACTTTCAAAGCATCACTTGTATGTTACTATCTTCACTGTGAGCTGAAATAAGTGTAATCCATAAATGTAGGATGATTCTTGATTTATTGTTTATCTTTTATGAAGTACACACTTCATTCTGAGTTTGTAGCACTCCCTCTCCTTTTTTTTTCTTTTTTTTTTTCTGTGCTTTCTTTTTGTCAATAGTTAAAGATTTCTTTTTTTAAATGTTACTTCAACAAAGCTTTCCACCATTCTCTTTCTGGCTCAGATTTTTTCTTGATAGTGTGTTTTCCTGTTCTTTAAAATCCATATTGAATTGTGAATTTGTTGGCAAAGAGGAAGGTTGATGTCTCACAGTTTTGTCTCACAGTTTTCTTCTTTTTACTTGGAATAGGTGTCCCAAATTTTATTAGCATTTGAACAAAGTCCTTATTATTTATTTATTTATTTATTTTCTTTTAGATCCTTATGCTCTCTAGGAGAAACCTCTCTCTTTTCTGGATATTCTTTTGTGCTATGCATACTATCACTGATTTTTGTAATGAATCCCTAGTTTGCTTATTATCAATACTGATACTGATAATATCAGTTTGGTCTCCTGTCTTCCAGTCTTCTTTTGCTTTTTTTCATCATAACTACCCATGATCACAGAACACTCTCCTGTTCCTCTCAGACTTCAATCCATGAGAAATTATATTTCCACCTCTTCTCTTCCTGAATTGACTGCATACCATTCTTTCATCTACTATTACTTGCTGATTTATTCTGTTTTCTAATGACAGAAATTATTTCACATTTCTGTTGTTCTTTGGCAAATTGATCTTTAATTTATAATACGCAATTTCTGCAGCTTATTGCCTAAAATAATTTGATTGTAGATCAAATTATTTTATAAAAATAAAAAAAATTCCTTCTGATGGTACAGAATGCTTGCAGAATTGCCTCACTGAGCACTGTAAAATGCATTTCATTCATACTAGAATATTAATGTTTTGGTAAGCTCATTTGTCACAAGACTGAAGAATTATTTTAAAAAGAATATAGAATCATAGGATAAGGAAAAGTCCAAATAAAATACCATTCTATAGTTGACAGTTTTTCCATGACTTTCAATACTCTATTTTGATTGTCTGTTAGATTTTCATAGATAATGACTACTTGAAAAATATAGCTTTATTTTCCACCTGTCCTTGTTATGTCATACTTTTCTGAAAAGTGTTATATTATATAAATACCTCATAGAAGGAAAGCCCTTGAGAAGTCAATATAAACTTGGTGGTTTTTTTCATAAAGAAAATATGAACAAAATATTTTGACTTAAAAAAAAAAGAAAACGATTAAAAAAAAAAGTGGTTCATGCTTTTCATGCTTTTATTGTTGCAATGGAGATCTTTGTAGAATTCAGATCTTCCAATTCAATACTTGACAGGCTGGCTGTTACCATTAATGAAATATAATCTGTTTTAAAAAAACTCAAGTATTTTTGACTTAAATAGTGATTTTGCTTAAAATTCACCTAAACAGCCAGAAGGAGTTCTGTTTTTTAGTGTAATAGGAAATTATATTATATAGTATATATATATATTATATATATGCTTCGTATCCTGAAAATATTTTTTAAAGGACTCCACATCTGGAAAATCCTCACTTGTAGTCAGATGGTCAATGCAGAAATAGCAGTATCAATTTAAAACACTGTCACTAAAACCAGATTGCTCCAGTGAAAAAGGTAACAGAACAGGGGATTTAAGCAGAACCATTCATGCAGTCCATTTGCTGTCTTTCTGCACAACTAGTAAATAGGCCAGATTATCATTAACTGTGGTTTGTCATGCCTCATACTTAAATTTCTGATCAATGAGAAGCTGATCATAGAGTCTTTCTGTAGTAAAACAATAAGGGATAAAGAAATGAGATACAATTAAAGATACTCTCAGTCTACATTTCTGTAATAATTATAGTTTAAAAAAATCTGAAATTTAGTGTAAGAAAATTGCACCAGTAATTTAATTATTCAGGTAGTTGCTACAAATGACATTGCATAAATGTCATATCACTTAATTGATTCAATTGATAATAAAACAACACTCAGATTTTGCTTTGCTCTATAAATTTAGATCACAAGTGTTAAAGTTCACTGTTACACTTCTAAAGAAAATGTATGTAAAATATGTCATTACTAACTGAGTTACTGTACTTGAGTTACTTGGTATGATATCTGTCTGCTACATGATGATGTTTATGATGCTGTCTCTTACTGTAAGTATTCATTTCATATGTATAAAGACTAGGACTTTCCAATAGCAAATTTTATATCATATGCTACATTTCAAAGCAAGTAAAATGGATAGTTTTATCTATAGTATTCATACCATACTAACTTGCTTTTGATTGTTCATTCTTTTTGTATATTCTCTTTACCAGGTATCTTCAGATCTTTCAATGGTGGGTGGTGCATCAGTTCTTACTGTGGATCCAGATGACATAGTTCCTTACAGTTTGAGTGTATCTCCATGGAGGCGAGGAGTCTTTCAAGGTAAAATGTAGAACTCCAATATACAAAATCCCTGTGAATTAAAGACCAAGTCTGTTTAATTTAGTGCTTTCTGTTCAATGTAACCTTTTTTTCATGAAAATAACACTGTAATTACTGGTGATACTGATTTTTAATCTGGGTCATTCTTTTAATTGTGAAGATATTACTGCTAAAAATGTGGTTGACTACTTCAAAAATGCCAACATTTGTGGAACTTTGTCTTTAATTGGTCCCATGGAAATTGTCACTACAGGAATTCGTGTGTTTGATTTATCAACAAGTGCACTTTCCAGAAAATGTTGAATAGCTTTAGCTCTCTAAGCGCTACTAGAGCCAATAATTTAAAATTTGATTATTTCCTTTGATTAAAGTTCAATTTGTTGCCTACAGGGTTCAAGAGTAAATACACAGAATGTACATTTCTAAAATTAATTGCAGATAATTTGCATCAGCCCATGTTTATACTGATAACTCTTATGAAACAATACTAAGATTCTTGCAGGCTTTAACTAACATCAGTGTGTCTTATTTAATATTTTGTCTTGAATATATTTTTAAATGGATATATCTTTAAATAATTCAGCCTTAATCATTTAATCATTTCCAAATGCTAATTAATAATTCTACAATTCTACTTTCTTTACATCATAATATAAGAAGCACAATGTGAATGAGGTTGTACATTCATGCTTCTAAGAGCAGGAATTGTGGCACTTAGCAGTTTTATAATGTGTGAGGAAGGAAATTATGGGAACAGAGGAGATCATATTTTCCTTAAAATAACTGAATAGTGCTCAGGAAACCTAGATTTATTCTACTTCTTAAACAAAATATTGGGTAAATATCTTAATCAAAAATGCTCAGTGTATAATCTTGACTTTTTGGTTTGCAAATTCCTTCTGCTAACTTTTTGAAAAGTTGAGATTAATGATTGCTGGTTTATCAACATCAAAAAATAATTGTCTTGTCCTTAGGAATGCAAATCTAGTTTATTATTTTGACTGTTACAGTCTCTGATATGTAAAACATAGGTTACTATGGCTATAGGTTAATAGCATCTCAGTATGCAGATGATGAAAATTTATAGGTCTCTCTGAAAGTACTGTTTTCTATACATTGCCAAGGAAACTACAGCAGATACAAAGAGCACGATAACTCTATTTGATTGAGAAAATTCTCAGATACAAAACACTACTTTTCAACACAGTCACCACCATGAGTCACCACCATTTTCACCAGCAATGAACTTGAGCCAGCATGCCATGCTTGAACATATCTGTACCAGAGGAAGCATCCCTGTCGCAGTTGCTACTGCTAAAATGCAGCAGCTATTGCCTCACTGTGCTCATATCCATTGTTTGGTCTCCATCTATGTTCAGCAAGTGCTAATGAATGTCAATGGATGCAATTTTTTCTGAATTCAGTGACAGACTGTTGCTTCATCCACACTTCCATGTCAGACATCACCTGTCACACTGCCGCTCTGCTACTATCTGTCACACAACAGCAAAATGTAATGGTATTGGTGGGAAGGTTCAACCTCTATGGCCATACTACCAACGTCCACTTCAGGCATTGCCTAACATCCTGAAACAGGAGGCGTTACTTTCATAACAGCGTTTTTAAATACTTGCAACAATGCTTGGTGTAGTGCCACAGCAAAACTTCTGTACTTCTTGCTTAGACAGTAGCCCTGAGAAAAAATTCATTTTCTCTGAGTTGGAGCCAGCTTTCAATTGAATTTTTGACCATCAGAATTAGTCACAAGGAAATACTGAGTGTACACTATACTTTAACATATGCTTTTTCCTTAGGCTTTAAAGATTTAGGATTATTCTTACTTACGGCTTAGCAAATCTACAGTTCTTTTATAAGTCCTGAAAACTTCAGTATAAGAGATTCCAAGCAATCCATCATACAATAGTTTAAAGGTAGCTGTTAAAAGCAATGCCTTCAAAGTTAAAGAGATGGCACACTTGAACCGTCATCTCTGTTCTGTCATTCCTAACTTCTGTCACAATGGTTTCCATTGTACTTGGAAGTATTACATGTTCACTAAAAGAGAAAGAGAACAGTCAGTGTCTCTAACCTGACAGAAAAGTTAATAGCTCAAAAGCTGCGTAGTCATATATGCTCTTTTTTTTTTTTTTCAGGGAACAGTTCATATATTTTATACTGCAAAATAATGACAGGAAGCTGAAGTGAGTTTGTGAAAGAGATAGGGCCCAGATATCTGCCATTCAACCCCTGGCTCAGTGGTTGCTTTAATCACTATCTGTAAAAATCACATTCATTTTTCCCCTGGAGCAGAGACAGTTTCAGTTATATCATAGACATTTGTAAATGTACTCAAATCGTTCAGCTGTTGTATGGCGGTGGGGAAGAAAGGCTCCTGTTGTGGATTTGAAAGGCAGAAGGTGATTTTGCTCTCCAGTGTTAGGTGTAATATAAACTACCAAGTGTCTCATATAAGGTAACACCACTTAGGAATTGCTTACTTACTTTGGGGATTCAAGTAGAATGGAAGTCAGTCTGCTTCAAATTGTGCAATTGTGATAAGTCATATTTGTTCCCCAAAGCAGAATTTTTACTTTCATGGAAACTTACGTATGGAAAAGTTTGAACTAAGAGAAATAGGAATTTTTGGCTCTCATAGAAATTTTCAGTTGCTGTGAAACGTGAGGATCACAGATTGGATGTGAGTGTTTTAATTGGTAATTGATTAGGATTCAGGAATCTTAGTACTTCTTAGCTGCAAAATACTACAAGTAACATTAAACACTCCAAAATAAAGATACTCTTTTTCAGTTTGGTGAATTTGTTTGGAGGGAAGTATGTTGAAGATTGAGGATAAAAACAAGGCTCGAAATATATCTATAGAGTGAAATCTTATTCTGTGAGGAAAAAAGAACAGCTAGTTGAATATTTAGTTGAAGACTTTGTCATAGAACTGTTGAGTGATTTCAAGTTTAGAACTCTCCAAATTGTATGTATAAAACTTTGTAACCTTGGTATTCTTAATGATGTTTTTGTCATATAAAAATGCAATTTCATAACGGTACTTGTGCCATAGAAATTGTTCTACTGAGCAAATGGTTTTTCTTTTTCTTTCTATTCAAAGTCTTTTTCATTACAAAATTATGTAACAGCACAATTATACTTATTTTGCTTCCCTTTTTGCTCTCTTATGATTGCTAAGTAAAAAATGGGCCTACTTCTTTTCAAAAATCCATTTGCAGGATTTCAATAGAGAGCTAATATTTTGTGCTACAGCTAGTTTGTAGCTATGTGACAGATTTTTAACATAGAAATAATAACTAATAAACATCTCGTGAAATGTTCTTGCATCAAATAAAATTGTTCAGCAATTTGTTTCCTAGGTAATAGAGCAATTTCTTTTAAGTCTGATAAAGCGCCTTCTACATATTACTTTATCTTTTATTTAAATCTTTTCCTTTCTTTCCACAGAATATCTAGAAGAGACCAAAGCTCATAGTACTTTATTGTTTCTTTTGCAAAAAATACACAACTATGTCTGTGTTCTTTTGTATGTAACAATTAACTAGCCTGTTGAAAGGACCTTTCTAGTTTTACGAATTACTTTTCATTTATTTTTGAAGTATGTATCACATGAGTAAAAAAATATAATGTCAATTTCTTTCTATTGGATGGAATTCTCCGTTTAGAATTGTGTTACATGCACTAAGTATTGTTTTCATAGTATGCTTTAAAATTGTCAATTATGATATTTCGACAAGTTTCCTTGTGATACCTGTGACAGAGAAATCGAAACTAGAAGGAAGCCACTAGAAGGAAGAAAAAGCACACTGATGTTTTGCTTTGCAGCATCAGTGAGACATAAATATACAAGAAATCGCCTTATTGAAGAAATGTAAGCTGCAGTAGGTTTTGTAGGATGACAGTGTGCACAGAGGCATAGACTGACAAAAGACTAAAAATTCACAAATCAAAGCAAGAAGCTTATGTAATATATGAGTCAAGCTTATGCTGACTTTTTGTTTTAAAACTATACTTTTTGTTGCAGTGTTTCTGCACCTTTCCAGTGTATTTCTTAGTAGTTAATAGATTGCTAAGGATTTTTTTGCATTGTATAAAGCTCTTTTTTCTAGCCTATGAGCTTCTTTTGATTAGAATTTTTGGTAGCCCCTGATTTCAATAAACTCCTATATTTATGTAGTATCAGCTATTTTTATCTCCTATGTAATAGTGGTCATTGCATTGCACCACTCATTTCTGAACCAGGAGAGCCATTTTTCTTACCACAATATTGTACGTCTTTGGAAAACAATCAGTCTTAACTTAAAGACTAAAGTCATGCAGAGCATGTTACTGATAAGGATAGTACTTTCTATACATGATTTAATATTAATACACTTCTTTGTTATTTGTAGTTTTTTATCAGCAGTTATTTGCTTTTTTTTCCCTGATAAAAAAAAAACACCTGAAATAGCTTTGAACCAGTCATAGATACTTTCACATCTATGAAAATGATGGACAATTTATGAATATTTTAAAGTTAGCAGATAAATGCAGTATGAAAATGCATGCCATCTACAGTGAATCTGGTTATATTTTATTTAAATACTTTATTTAAATACTTTATTTAAATACTTGGACAGATATAATCGAGAACCCTGCAGAAATCTGAATACAGAATACAATCCAGTTACCTTTAGTGATCAAGATTTTGCCCTCAATTTTATTAATTCTGTTTGTTTGAGATCTGTTTTCTGCAAGGAAAGAAAGTTGAGTGTTGGCAATTACAGCAAAATTCTTCACTGATTTTTCAATTATGCCACTGCTGGTTTATTTGCACAGTGGTTGACCAATTTAAGTGGTTTGCAGTTACTATTCTTCTTCTACTACTTCTTCAAATATTCTTGAGCATTAGCAATTTACAGTTCTGGAATTTCTCAAACATTCCAAGATTTGCCACAGATAGATACTCAGAATTCTTCACTGTTTATTGCAGTGCTAAATAAGTTTGTTTTTCTATACCCCTACTTAGGGATGAAATAAAAACTTCTAAGCCCTGAACACTTGTCCCTCTCTCTGAAGCACACATTTGCACAGTATAATACTCTCAAATACATTGTGAATGGAAGAAAGGACTGTAAGAAACAAATTGATTATATTTTAAAATGAAGTGAAAAAAAAATTGCTACTGTAAGGAGGTTTTAAGATGTATGAATTTAGTTTATTTCAGCACATACTCAAATATTTTTTAAAATCAAGTTTAAAACTATAGCTTGACTTCTTTTTGCTCATTTCTTTATAGTTATTGACATCTCAAGTACATTAATCCTTAGGATCATAATGAAAATTAATGGTTTTCTCTTACACTTTTTTCCTTCTTAATACTGCGCTGCATTAGACCAAAATTGTACTAGGTTTATTTATTAAGGTGTGAAATAGATTAGCTTATCAGTGTTTTTCGTAAGATCCATTAGATATTAGCACCATCAAAATAAGTTATCCCACATCACTATTTATATACCTTGAGTAATTTCTGCAGACTTTATTCCTTTGAGCTTTCTGCAATTATTTCTTAAATTGCGTTTATACATATACTTTCTCTCTCTTCCTTCCTTCCATTGGGATAGCATAGATTTTATTAACAAAGGAATAAATTCTGGAAATGTAATATTTAATTTAAAATTACATAGTTTTTTTCTCTGGATTTAAATGCACTCTTTCTTCTCTCTCCTTTCTCCTTTTTCTCTTCCTCTTCCCTCACCTCTCTCTTTTCTCTTAGTTCTGTCTCTTTCCTTTCTCCCCTTTCTTCTTTCTTCACTTCTCTCTTCTCTGTTCCTCCTTCATCCTCACATAGTATTAAAAGAACTCTGTAACTGGGGCTATTTTAGAAAAAATTGATCTCCTTAAATGCAGTGAAACATGGAAGGATTTTTATGAATGCAGCCTTCTGCAAAAGTGTTTGAATAAGATAAATGTCAAGGACTGTAAATAACCCTGATATAAGCTGTTATATGTACTTGGAATATGTTATATGTAAGCTGTTATATGTACTAGGAATATTGATCAGTTCCTGATGGTATAGTCATAGTGGATTTCTGAGCCAGGTGTTATGACTAGTGAGGTGCTATCTCTGTTCTTCACTGCTATCCCCTTTCTCAGGCCCTATGCAAATCTTGCTTGGCTTAGTCTGGGGTTCTCCTCTTCCTTTTGACTTCTTTAACCATCTTCTGAAGCTTAAAATGAGTGTCAGTAACTTCCTTTTATATGTACCTGCAGACAGGTAACATAAACTCAGCTATTTCTGCTCCTCTAATGTGCCAAATGCCAAATAATTTTGTAAACATAATCTGCAACTTCTCTGTGCTTACGTACTACAGTGAGGAGGAGCACATTATAGAAAATCAGCTCAGAAGGAGCATGAAAATGCAGCAGCTCCCTGATTCAATTTCAGGTATTCCTTCCAGTTAAGTATTAAAATCAACTAGTCACAAAACCACGCATCACTCATTACCTCCCATCTACCCTACTGGTAGGGAGGAGCTGGAAGTGGAAAAAATACCATTAAATATAGGTATTCTTAAACCATATTTTTCTGAGACTCATGTAAAATTATATCAGTTCTCCTTTTCAAATTAAAAGAGCTTTGCTATGAATAATTTTCCAAAATCTTTAATAAGAGGCAGTTACTTAAATTCCCTTTGAGAGATCCTTTCACATAAATGCTAAGGATCTTGAATGGGAAAATTTCTGACTGTATAATATCATAAAATAATCACCTCCTCGAGTTAGTTTTTCATCGTACATATGAAGCAAGAATTAAATCCGTGAGACCTATTTGCTTCAGTATTGAAACTGCAGAATGTACTGAAATATTGAGGGACATTCATTTAGATAAGATAGCAATGATATGCAGCATTTCCAAGCAGTTGTGAGGATTTTAAGTTATGTGTCAGAAGCATACAATACAAGAAGCAAAACCTGCTTATTTAAAGCTGGTATTTCAAACCTTCCCAAATGATGTTAGTATTCTTTAAAGGAACTGAGGAAAGACTGGATTTTATATTATGTTTTATGCTATCAAATATTAATCTATATTTTTTAACTGAAAAGGTATTTCACTGTAATTTAAAAATCTTGGCCTTAAAATCTATGAGTAATTTTTTCTTCCATGAATACTTGATTTTACCATACAAATGATACAGTAGTATATGATAGAAATATTTTACATTTATTATTTTACTGCAATAGAATGAGGCCCACTGTAACCTGAAAAAAAAAACTCCAACTCAAAAGTAAATTTCTACGCATAGAAATTTACACTGGAAAGAAAGATACTAGTATTGTCTGCCATATTTGATCATCTTTGATAAGTATGTTTGTCTGTACTTCTTATTTCAGGTAAGTAGAAAAACCTTATGGGAAGAAAAATGGTTGATCCTTGGACTCACTCAAGATGTGTTCTTTAATGCCATAAATTAGAATTGGATGGCTGACAGCTGGAGTTAGAAGTTTTACTTCATTTTATATTACTTTTGAACTAAAGAAATACTCATGGGTGTCTGGCATTTTATTTTATAAAGCTAGTGCCCCAGTTAATATGGCATCTGCTATCTATTTGTTTTAGGTGTAATTTCATTTGTTGCTGAAGATGAAGACCAACAGCAGTCACAACATAACAGCTCATTGGAAAGGACAGATGGTGAACTGGCATTTAAGAAATGGTCAACAAAGACACCACAGACTGTTGGTGCAGCAAATGCAGGTATTATTGTTGTGGATGAGTTAATCCATTTGTGAGAACTTATTTATTTATTTATTTATCTATTTATTTATTTATTTGCTTATTTTATGTCAGGCCACGTCTTATAAAACTGTCAAGTCAAATGCGTTTTCCTAAAAAGATTTCTCCTTTGTTGAATTTTTCACATATTTTAATTAAATTTTAAGCTGATTTTCTATATATTTTTTTTTAAAGGGGAAACCTTTGTTAAATAATTTCTTTTAAAAGTGTCCAATACTATTAATAGTACTAATGTCAAAGCAAGCAGTTGCTGAAATTCACACCATTCCATTCCATTTGTGGAATAAACTTTCTTTTAAGTTCTAGCTTCAGGTTCTTGTTTGGTCATTTACAGTAAAGTCTGGAGGATATTCTAAAATATGTGGTTGCTTTCCAGTTGTGATCTCAAAATTTATTATAAACAGTTTCTGGATTTTAGATGTTCCAGGGGAATATATAGTTGTGATTAGAAGTGCACAGCAAATAGATAGTGGTTTTTGTTTATTTTTTAGTGAATATCTTGTTTTTCTTCTTTACATTTTTATGGAAGCTTTAGCTATAGAAATAATTATTACATTACAAAAGTGTATTGTCACAAGGAAAGCAATCATGTCTCTTGTAAGATATTTGGGCTTTGCAAAGCTAGGAATCATAAGTGAAAAACTAGTAGAAGCGGTGACTGCAAGTAGCAGAAAGAAAAGTTTGAGTGGATTTCTCAATACTGTATGAATCACTGATGATGTAAATCGATGGTGTTCTTCTTAGATAGAAAAACTCTGTCCAGCAGGGACAGAGAGGTGATTGTTCCCCTCTACTCTGCTCTTGTGAGGCCCCATCTGGAATACTGCGTCCAGGTCTGGAGCCCCCAGTACAAGAAAGACAGGGAGCTGTTGGAGAGGGTCCATAGGAGGGCCACAAAGATGATCAGGGGACTGGAGCACCTCCCCTATGAGGACAGGCTGAAAGAGCTGGGCTTGTTCAGCCTGGAGAAAAGAAGGCTGCGGGGTGACCTCATTGCAGCCTTTCAGTACCTAAAGGGAGCCTACAAACAGGAGGGGAATCAACTATTTGAAAGGGTGAGTGACAGCAGGACAAGGGGAAATGGTTTTTAACTGAGGGAAGGGAGATTTAGGTTGGACGTCAGGAGGAAATTCTTTACGGAGAGAGTGGTGAGGTGCTGGAACAGGCTGCCCAGAGAGGTTGTGGATGCCCCATCCCTAGAGGTGTTCAAGGCCAGATTGGATGGGGCCCTGGGCAGCCTGGTCTAGCATTAGGTGGAATGGTTGGTGGCCCTGCGTGTGGCAGGGGGGTTGGAGATTCGTGATCCTTGAGGTCCCTTCCAACCCTGGCAATTCTGTGATTCTGTGAAAAACCAAAGCAAATTCTTTTTTTTTTTTTTTTTTTTTTTTCCTTATTAGTATTGATGTACCCTTTGCTGAGCTTGGTTTGCCACTAATTGTATGTGATTGGATGATGCAATTGGAATATATATTTTTAATTTATGGTGAATAGTCAGTCTGACAGCATGCTGAGGGGGACCAGGTAATCTGTTCCAAATAAGCACCCGTTTTCACTGCACAGTGATCTACATGCGTAAAGTCAAAAGAGAACACTGGGTCCCATTCTTGGGGTAATCTGCACAGTTTATTCATTTGTGGCTCTATCAAGTTACTACATCTTTCAATTTTCATCTGTTGTTATCATCATGCTACCATATGTAGTTATATCTTTATCTTACCTATGTGTTTCTAGTAAATTGTACTATCTTATGTTTCATGATTTTTAAGAATGTTTAGGACATCATTGTGATTACTTTGTAATGTAGACTTAAAGTAAGACATGAAGTAACTCTTCCCTGCAAAGGCTTTACTTAATGATATAATTTTTTTCTTCAATACAAAGAATACATCTTTACAATGTCCGCATCCTAAGAACAGCAAATTTCCATCTCACCATTAAGTCGACTGACTGCTTCTAGTCTTTTCACAAAACATAATTTTCCATCACAGTCATTCATTTCTACTAGATACTTACAACTCTTTTACATGAGGGGAAAACACCTGTTGAAAATGGCTAAGTAGAGATGTAAGCTAACAAAGTGTCATCTAATGCATATAGTGATAGCAGTCATTTTCTGAATGTTCTTCAAAGAGGAACTACCACTGGCTTGAATTTATCCTAAGCAATTTTCTTTTCTACCAGTATTACTACAGCCGTTTTTGTTACCTCCCATCAAAGTAGAATGACAAATAGATATCTTCAAGTTGCAGTTAAATATAGGATTACTTAAGTGCAAGATGCATGCAGTAGTAGTATGAAAACAATTTGCAGGGATGTCTTGCATTTGACCAGAGTCATCACATGCTGAGGGAGGGCAAGCAAAAGCTGAGAAGCCCCTCACTTCTGTTACTTTTCCAGGATAACAGAAAATAGTAGACTTCCCATGTAGGGAAAAATAGCATCCAGGCTGGAAAGTGTACAAGCCAAAACAAGCATGAGGTTGTCTGTAGCTGAATAAAGTTATAAAACAACTCTAATGATAGCACATTTAAACCAGAAATTTTTGTCTTGCTGTCACTTGGTAAAATATTCCTTTTGAACATGCCAGCAAATAATGTTTCCTTGTCATGCACACCTAAACATACAGTATCATCTTCAGGTACTTACACACATGCATCATATAAATTAATACATATTTAGCTTTTCCTTTTTTTTAAAGAGGCAGATAATTTCTAGTATAGTTGTCATATGACTTCTTCATCATTCATACCAACATTGCTCATTATACTCTTCCAAAAAAATGATACTGAATTTTTTCATTATATTTTTCTCCTCCAGATGCAGTTAAAAAAAACCAAAAAAAACAAAAAAACAAACTAAACATTTTGTGCTTGCATTGGAAACCACTGCTGCAAAAATTCTCTTTTTGTTGTTAAAGAACAGCATCAACACTTCTGTAGCACAGAGGTAGTGACAGGGGCTTGCCCCTTTGTTCAATGCTAGGTGTTCTCAGTTTTGTTCAAAGTGCATTTCTGTCTTTCAAGAGAAGAGCTCCTATTTTTTTTTCTTTTCTCTTTTTTTAATTCATGGGATCCAAAACTAAACTGAGGCCAAGTGGTTGATAAGAGTGAAAGTAGGACGCAGCTCGTCTTTTGTGTAAGACATCTCTTTAGTTATTTCTGTGTAATAAAATTATAAAATGCTGGTCTTTATTAATTTGTTTCAGAGTCTGATCAAATGCTCAGGCAACTCATCACTTGTCAGAATTTCCTCTCAAAGTAGAGGAATTTTTTCTGTTCTGGAAGGTTCTATTCTATAAAAGTTTCTTAGAGACAACTGGCCTCAGACAATTGCTCTTGTATTATGCTCTTTGCTGTGTTGCATGGGAGAAACAGAGAGGATGCTTGGCTGTTTCTGCTAGAGCCACTGAGCCATTGCTCACATGTTTGATCCAGCAGCTCCCCTGAAGAAGCGCTGAGGGTCTTAAGTTACTGCAGTAACAAAGATTTGCACTGCAGCTGCAAATCCTTCTTTACCCGCTCCAGAATCTCTCTCTCTCTCTGGCAGTAAGTCTTGTCACAGAGCTGGCACTTGAGCAACAGCTTTTATTGTTCCTGTCATTGGTGATGTCTCTCAGAGTTGAGATCTACAGATGCAGTATGTTTGTGTAACATGATCATTTTTATATGTTCTTGTCTTTTTTCTGGCTGCCCTAAGCCTTATCTTTATCAGAAGATTGTACTTCATATTGCATTCTTCTTATCAAATGTGTTTACATGTTTGTGCCATTCCAAGTTTTTGAATATCCTTTTAACTGAAGGATGTGCAATCAAAAAAGATGTACTTCTTGCAAATTTGACTGTGGGTTTTTTGTTTTTTGTTTCTATCATGGCTTAGTGGTTAGGTCAGACACTAGTTTTGGCAAAGCCTGTTTTCATTATCTTTTGAAAGCTAATTTATCTTTCAGAAGAGTTTTCAATGACAGATAACATTTTCTAGTCAAAGTCACTGTGTTTCCCGTTGTCTTCAGAAACAACTGCCTCCAAGCAGGTCCATTGAGAAACCAACACATTGGAAAAGTAATGACATTTACATGTGTGATTCTCCCATCCTTTCAGACTTGAAATCAGTCCCTGAGAACTGAACATCAGTGGCAGCACAGTTGAGGGTACTCATGTGAGGAAGATAATGAAAAAAATTTTTTGTTCTTCTAAACAGTGTTGAAGGTGATTAGGAGGAGAACTGTCAGTTTGGTGACAATTTAAAATAAGATTTTGTATTGCTTCATGTGAAAGTTTTAAAAAGATTGTAAGAACAAAGTGCAATGATAAACATTAGGAATTAATCTGCATTAATGGGGTAATGTGTTTAATATACATTTATGGGTATAATTGATTTCTTGGATGCATACCTTTTCTGGTATTAATACTGTTCCACTGTAAAAAACAGAAATGCCTTAAAAATCATCATGATCTACCTCCTTAATTTTGATTGTGCAAATAAGCAATCAAATAAGCTATTTTCAGTCAAATCTGCATTCCGTAAGTTAAAGGGCTGCTAGAAACTTAATGCTTCCTATTTTATTTTGTTGACCCGTGATATCAGAGATCAGTGTTGGTGGTTGGTTTCCACTAGTATTCTGTTACATTTTGTTGCTGTGTGACAGATGGCAGCAGAGGGGCAGCTTCACATAGTGGTGTCTGACATGGAAGTGCCTTTGAAACAAAGATGTATCATTGAGTTTCTCCATGTGGAAAAATGTCACCCATTGACATTCATTGATGCTTGCTGAGTGTTTATGGAGACAAACCAGTGGATGTGAGCACAGTGGGGCAACGGGTGTTGCATTTCAACAATGATGGCATCATAGCAGCTGTGAAATAGTGGGTCACCTCTGCTAGTGCCAATTGTTATGAGCACGGCATGCATGCTGTTGTTCATGGCTGCTGGAAATACATAGCTAAAAGTAGTGACTATGTTGA